CCATCTGAGGGGGAGGCGCGTCAGAGGAGGAGGAGTTGTAGATGATACGGCACCAGTGAAGTATTTGATCTTCTTTGCACCGGGTGTGAGAACGAAGAAGTACGGGATCGTCTCTGTCAGGACGAAGTCAGCAAGCACAAACTCTCCCAAACTCCCATTATCATCGTTGAGATGATTATCAGCATCTCCATCATCGTCTTCGTCAACATCATGTCGAACAACTCCGTCTCCCAGCATCATCAGCACCATCAGCACCATCATCATCTACATCATCTATCATCTACAAGCTCCATCATCATCTGTCACCATGTAGCTGCGGGCAGCAGAACCATCCTCTCTTGATGGTCCGAGGAGGCTGAGGCTTCTGCAGCCCCCAACTCAGCGCTTGCAAACCTCCACCGCACAGCAGCACCTCGTTCATCTCAAAGTGAAGCTCCACCTTAGACATCTGCCAGAGCCAAAACATGGTTGTCGGAGCACGAAATCACAAACATCACACTATCACCCCCTGCGGCCCAACCAGCGACTGCTCGATCGAACAAGTTAGAGGAGGCGCAGCATGGGGCAAGCGCAGCAGAGATTTTGAAGCACCTGCTTCTTAGGCGTGCGGACTTCATACCATCCCCCCTCCTTCTGCTCTGATAGTGCTCGTGTCAGCAACCTCTGTGATAGGCTGCAAAGGTCTCTCCATGCTCACCAGCATGTGTTTCTATCCTGCTGATCGGGACCACGACATTTCCTGCGAGGTTGACGTGTGAGTGACAACGAGGAGGAGGTTGCGAACTACCGAGAACTTCGTGCTCTCCGGACAAGACACTCTCACTTAAGAGCCTTACAACCACAAAGTGATGCTCCGTCTTTGCGAGCTCCTCGATCTGCGAACAGAGACGACCGTCGGTCACCAACCACGTTGCAAATAGTCTCAGCATCAACTTCGACAGAAATGAAAGCAAACATCACAAATGCAACTACAAATATAACTACAACTACATATGCAACTGCAACTGCAACTGCAACTGTATCTGCAACTGCAGCTGCAGCTGCAGCTGCAACTGCAACTGCAACTGCAACTGTATCTGCAACTGCAACTGCAACTGCAACTGCAACTGCAACTACATGTGACATAAGTCTCAGACAATTAGCTGTTGTCACCTGGAAGCTCTCGTTCCATGACGGATGCAGACCGCTTGCGGCAATCACGGTAGAGTAAGAGAACGCACACTTCCCAGGCTCGTGTTGTCGTTCCCTGCAAATGACCTGCACAAGACAGCGAAATCCTCTTCCCTCTCCCACGTCCTGTCCTCTCCCTGTCAGCTCCTCTCATACATGGAAAGATCGTTCCCTACAGGCAAGTTGCGGGCTTGCCGCACCACTACTGTCAGAAGGCGATTGCTCTGCACAAATATGAGCGACTGCTATTGCACCGCGAAAGAGGATACCGTCATTCCTCGAGGTTTACCATGGCATCGTGCAAACGCAACACAAATCTTGTTTCTCTTTCTGGTCAGAAGCGTGAGAGGTCGCAAGGGTGTGAAGATATTGATAATCAGGGATTCAATCAGGAATTCACCACCACCAAATAGTTTGGTGTAATGTTGAGGATTATCATGCATGAGATGGATAGAGGATATCCATTGTGCAATGGCCTTGAACCAACATTTTCACCACCAGGGCCGTGCGCAGTGGCAAAATTCCTAGTTTCAGGTCCTCTTCTCTCCCTCTCCAATATCTCCCTCTATGACAACATTTTCACCCACGAACAAGATCTTATGGAAGGAAAGGCCAAATGATTCTTTCCTATTGCGATGTTCGACCACGCCAATTCTTCATATTCTTCATTCGCTGCTTCGTTCCTTTCTTAAATTGTTCTACAGCACCTCTGCGCCCTTCCCATCTTGTCTCTCAGAGCGCCTTTCTCCTCGAAACGTGCTCTCCAATATCCTCCTCCCTCATCTCTCATTTGCCTCTCCCTTCTCTCTCATTGTATCCTCTTCTCCGCCATGATACTCTTCATTTCCTCGTCCTCTCTCCACCTGATCCCTTCCTCTCTTCCTCCTGCTCTTCTTTACTGTGGAGTCAGGTCGTGCATTCCCTCTATCGGTGAAAGGAGGGGTGGGGTAGCAAATAACCCCTGAATCCAAATCAGACTACCCCCCTTCTTTCCAATGGGAAGACTTCGACAGTACCCTCCCACCAGACATATAAACCACCACCCCTTTCATCTGCCTACCCCGGCATTCCGATCACCTAGCTGAGGCTGGCTCGTATTTGAGTACCCCACCCTTATCTTTTAGAGCTCATTTGAATCTAAAGCACCCCTTACTGTCCACTTTCTGAAGCCTGAGTCAATCGGCCCCGCAGACTCCGGGACCCCTACCCCCGCTGGTCGAGAAGTTTGACTTTTTTTTTAACCCCATCTCCAAATTTAGTCACGGTGTCACTACCCCACCCCCTTTCGGAAATCAACATTTTTTCTACCATTTAAAGCTCTTGTACCGGTCCGTTCAGAATGCCTGGCCGTCAGTAGTAGAAGTCCTCGTACCGTACCCTGCTTTACTTGACTGCAACCGATGGATTCATCCAAGCCGGCCCTCCGACGAGTTTGAGCGCCCCCCGCCGGGCCGCGGGGGGCAGGCCCTCCGAGTTAACGCCGGCCGGGCGGGGCGCCGGGGGGGGGGCGCCCCGGGCCCGGCGGCCCGGCGGCCGCCGGAGCCGCCGGTCGGCTCAGTTTACTCAAAGTTAAGATAACTCGTCAAAACAGAATCACAAATGAACAGAGCCGAGGCTTGAGGGCCCTGCCACTGTCACTGTCGCACAGGCGGCCGAATGAAGCCGCTGAGCCGCGGCACGGCAGGCACTGCCCAGTCACGGGCTCCCCGGCTCAGCGGCTGCCCGGCCCGGGCAGCCCCCGGGCCCGGCCGCCGGACATCCGACTGATCGGATGTCCGGCGGTCGGGAGTGGCAACCGCGGCGTGCTACTTGCAGCGGCCTGCGGCCTGCACTCCTGACGGTGACCGCCTGAACAACCGTCGTGCCGCCGCCGGTGAGTCACGGGCCGTCACCGGGTGCACGGCCGCTACGGTCGGACTAGCCGCTGAGCGTCACTGCCCGACTCGGACGAGCGGCTCTGTCATAGCGCCGCAGCGGCCGCAGTTCGGTGACTTGGTGACAGTGCTGCTGGAGTCCCTTCGGGCGGTGACGGTCCACGCGTCGGAGGGCCACTGGCCTCAGCCTGCCCTCGGAACGGAAGTTGAAGCCGCCTCCGAGTGAACTGACCGTGCCTTGACTCAGTCGGTGGCAACGCGACACTGCCCGGCCAGCGTCGGCCGGGCCGGGCTATGAGTCGCCCCGGCCGTGACTTCAAGGCTTCGAACTGAGCGGCCCTGCAGCCTCAGTGCCCGGCCGCGTTCGAGAATTATCCGACAACAAAAAGATAAAAAAATGACTTCACTGGTACTATTTAGAGGACAATCCGTACCTTGATGACGTCATGGACTTTTCTTTGTTCTTCCCTTGGTTGGCGGTAAATGTTTGAAATAAATATCAAAGAAGTTGAAAGTATTTATTTAAATTTGTAGTTTATAGACCAAAATTGTTGAATTGGTTTCAATTTGTTTCGCCAATTGTCTGACGCTCAAACTTGTTTACATGGCTCAGTGATTGAGATGAGCAAAGCAGGCAGGAAGAGGAGCAGGAGCAGGAGCAGGAGCAGGAGCAGGAGCAGGAGCAGGATCAGGAGCAGGAGGACATGATTGAAAAGGAACAGGACAACTTTCGAGATCATAGAGATGGAGAAGTACTGTACAACATGCAAGGATCACCGAGGAAAACTCTGCCAAGCCACCATGCTAAACTTGTCTCGCCTGTCTCCCCAGATCCTCCCTGATGGCTGGAACGTCGCTCCTCATCCTTACTGACTTGAACATGCCAGGATGACGCGGCTGGTTCGGCTCTCCTTCCTGATCCTCTGCCTCCTTTCCTCGCACGTCACAGCGGATGAAGGAGCGTACTCCTCCATTGACGACGTGCTCATCCTCACATCGGAGAACTTCGACAGAGAAGTAGCCAAGCACACTGAAGGCGACAAGGCTCTGCTGGTAGAGTTCTACGCGCCATGGTGCGGACACTGCAAGGCTCTCAAGGTGGGAAAGGAGGTTGAGCGGGAGGAGGATGAGGGGTAGAGGATGAAAGAGAGGGGGTCCAGAAGGAGGAACGGAGGGGGGGATGGGCGGTATCTGGAACTAAGGCATACTGCGCAGCCCAAGTACATCGAAGCTGCCAAGAAGCTCATGCAGAACAACCCTCCTATCCGCATCGCTGCCGTCAACGCCGACGAGGAGAGCAACAAGAACCTTGCTTCCCGGTTCGGAGTCAGCGGCTTCCCCACCCTCAAGGTCCTCAAGGACGGAGGCAGCACCGTGCTCGACTACGACGGTCCTCGGGAGACCGATGGCATCGTCAAGGTTGCTGGATCAAGTGCTGCGTTGCTCCTCCCCTGACAGCGGTGGACAGCACGTCCTCGCCTCGCAGGGCCCCACCTGGACGGAGGTGACGGAGAAGGAGGAGGTGGAGCGGCAGAGGGGGGCAGGGAAGAGGGTGGCTCTGTTCGTTGGAAAAGAGCCGCGGGAGGCGTCCAAGGCTTTTGCAGCATTCAAGGAAGCAGCAGCGAAGGTGTGAAGAGAGATGAGGGAGAGGAGGGACGAGAGGGAGGAGTGAAGGGATAGGAAGGGGCAGGAGAGGAGAAAGTAGGGGAGGGAGGGGAAGGGGGGGAGGAGAATCAGGGGAGAAGAAGAGGAGAAGGAGGGCAGGAGGGGAGAAGGATGGCAGGAGGAGATAGAGAGGAGCACAGTGGAGGAGGAGTTGAGAGGTCTGACTTGCTGACCAGCTCAAGGGAGACGTAACGATGCTCGCCTGCTTTAACGAGCAAGTCGCCAAGGAGTTTGGACTGACCGCCCCTTCAGTGTCAGTCTTCACTGAATACAAGGTCAAGATCATGCATTCACTTTTGCTGCGGCTATTTCTCCTCCTGCTCCTGCGCTTCCTTCCTGCTACCCGTCTCCCCTCCTCGTCTCTCCTCTCCACCTGCTCCTCCTGAAAATGCTCACGAACATATTGCGAACGATGATGAAAAGACCGACGATGACGTCATGCGCTTTTCGTGTTGTTGCTGTCTCTTTCCTCATACATCATCCAGGCTGAGGGAGCGAGACATGAGAAGCTGGAAGAGAAGCTCAACGATGCCCAACATGTCCAGGTGAGGAGCCTCCTCCTGCTCGTCCCTTGTTGCATCTCCTCCCCCTCCTCATTGCTTTGCTGTAGAACTTCATCAACGACATGGCTCGACCCCTGGTTTCCTTGGTCGGCAACAGCGACGAGCATGGCATGCTGTGAGAGAGGGAGGGCAAGGTCCAGACTTGTGCTGACTTGCGATGCAGCATGAAGACAGACCTACCGATCATGAAGATGGTGAACGTTTACCGCACGTTTCTGTCCTTCACCCTGACCCTGAGCGCCAGTTTGTCAACGGCAAGGACAGCAGTGACAGACAAAACAGGAAAAACATGTTCCGCAACCGCATCAGCAAAGTGAGCTGCCCACAATGCCCCCGTTACCATCGTATCACAACACAACATGCCTGCTTGTCCTCTCCCATGACTTCACCTCTGCTCACATGATCGTTCAGCCTCTTCGTCACCTGACGCCTCCTCTTCCCCCCCCCAGGTTGCCATGGATTACAAAAACAAGATAACATTCGCTGTCAGCGATGACGTGGAGGGAGGAGCGAGCTACGAGTTGGAAGAGTACGGAATCTCTTCCTCTGACCTCCCTGCTATCGTCATCAGAAAGGTACGAGGAACTTGAATCTCGTGCTCCCTGCGGACATCATATCCTCCAGCCCCTGCAGCCATCTTCAATTTCCTTTCTCTCCTCTCCTCCTCTCCTTCTCTCCTCCTCCTCCTCGCCGCCTCCTGCGCATGATCCTCCCCCCACAGCCCCTCTCCCCCTCTCCCCCTCTCCCCCTCTCCTCCTCTCCCCCTCTGCTCTCTTTCTGCTTGAACTCTTTCTTCATCTTCCTCGTCCAACCTCTCCACGTCCTTTCTCGCCTTCAACGTTTTCCCGGCCATTTCTTGCACACGCTCCTCCTCTTCCTCTCCTTCTCAAGGGTGACGATGCAGCAGGGAAACCTCAAGTACAAGTTCGATCCAAAGAACGAGGAGGAGAAGAAGTTCAAGGCGTCAACTTTCAAGGCCTTCGCCGATGATTACCTCGCCGGCAACAAGTCGGTTTCACCCCTCCTGCCCCTCCAATCACCTAATTTCCTCTACATTCTCCTCTCCTCCTCGTCCTCCTCGTCCTCCTCGTCCTCCTCGTCCTCGTCCTCCTCCTCGTCCTCGTCCTCGTCCTCCT